GTCTGGATCAGCATCCCCTTCTGCTTTATCTATCTCGCGGCCATTGTGGGCAATAGTATCCTTCTCTACCTCATTGCTGTGGAACATAGTCTTCATGCACCCATGTTCTTTTTCCTTTCCATGCTGGCCATGACAGATCTGATACTGTCTACCACTTGTGTCCCCAAAACCCTTACCATCTTCTGGCTTGGTCCCCAGAAAATCAGTTTTCCTGGTTGTCTGACCCAGTTATTCTTTCTGCACTGCAGCTTTGTCCTAGATTCAGCCATCCTGATGGCCATGGCATTTGACCGCTACGTGGCCATCTGCTCTCCCCTGAGGTACACCACTATTCTGACTCCCAGGACCATCATCAAGATTGCAGTGGGCATCTCCTTTCGAAGCTTCTGCATTATCCTGCCAGTTGTATTCTTGCTCACACGCCTGCCTTTCTGCAGGACACGCATCATACCGCACACATACTGTGAGCACATAGGTGTTGCCCGGCTCGCCTGTGCTGACATCTCCGTCAACATCTGGTATGGCTTTGGTGTCCCCATCATGACGGTCATCTCAGATGTGATTCTCATTGCCGTTTCTTACAGCCTCATCCTCCGTGCCGTCTTCCGCCTCCCCTCCCGGGATGCCCGCCACAAAGCCCTTGGCACGTGTGGTTCCCATGTCTGTGTCATCCTCATGTTTTATACACCCGCCTTTTTCTCCATCCTTGCCCATCGCTTTGGGCACAATGTCTCCCGCACTTTCCACATCCTGTTTGCCAACCTCTACATAGTTATTCCCCCTGCACTCAACCCCATTGTCTATGGAGTGAAGACCAAGCAGATCCGAGATAAGGTCATACTTTTGTTTTCCACCAAGGCTACGGAATGATGTTTCAATGTGCTATGGAAAAGCAGATATCATTGTATAAGGGATATTAATGTAGCAAGACTGAGAAAAGAGCTAATTCTAATTGAAGTGAGAACTGCCTGCAGGTGCTTTTGCATACAAGGAAAATGGTGTGGTCTCTTTAAAGGACTTTCATTATTCTATATATAAAAAAATCCTTGATGGTGTGTTTGCTTCTGGAATATGAAGTTGTATAGGATATGATCAGGAAGAAGAGGTGAAAACAGAGAGCTGGCTTAGCGTAAATGGACAAAGGAATATAAATTTGGAAATTGACATTTGACTCTGTGGAGAGAGAAAAGTGTGTTATGCACAACAGAGACCCTGAGGAAGTGAGACTAAAAGTGAAAATATCAACAAATAATTCATTATTGAGGGGATTGGTAGATGGATTTAGGACATTTATGATAATATTCAGTTCTCACTAGTGTTCATCATGTGCTTCTGCCATTCACTTTATATTCCCTCTACCCCCAACAGACACACACATAAAATCATTCAGTACCAGAGCTAGGAGAAGCACGATCAACCAGCAGTGCTGTGACGGGGAGGAGAGAGCATGTATTTCTCAACACCTGCATTCTAGCCCCAGTGCTGGCAGAAGAGAGGAGCTTCTAGGCTCCAAGACACTGAGAAAGTGAGCTGCAGAGATGTGCCAGGAGACCTTAAGCCAGTTCAGTGCGAACGCAAAGTAGATGTTTAACCCCATTTGCAGAAGACCTGTGGGACTTTTATCGACAGAGTGTGTTTCCTGGACTGGAAGAGAGAATCAATTACAAGACACATCAGTGCAGTGAAGGGGGATGAGGAGAGAAAATCTACAAGAAAGTGATGCATCCATGGTAAGATGCATCTAGTTCCACAGGATTGCATTAGAGACAACACTGCTATGTTCAGAAAAAGATCTAGAGTTCTTACAATACATGTTTTTTCTTCTTTTGACCATTATCCGCCGATGTGGAATTATTTGTTGGGTACCCACTGTATTGCAACACGGTTCTAAGCATTCGGGAAAGGAAGGTTAAGGATACAAAGACTCCGCCCTGTGTTTGTGGAGCTTATATTCTCAGGAGAGTGACACACGAGAAACGAGAGAACAAGTTCTACACCTTCAAAGAGGGATGTAACCGATGGAAAAATGCAGCGAATACAGTGATGCACTACAAGTGGACGAGGAGGACAGGGCAGCGAGGACAGCAAAGGCAAAGGCCCTGGGGCAGGACACAGTGTGACGTGACTGTGCACAGAGCAGAGGCCAGCGTGTCTGGAGCAGAGCGAGGCGGGGATGCAGGAGCAGGGAGGAGGGGGGAGCGTGGCCGGGTCCTGTGGGGCTGGAATCATCGGAACCTCATTGTAGGAGGAGGAAACTGATGCCAGCAGAGTGAACGTGACTTTTCCAAGGCACACAGCGGGGCGGTCATCAATGTGGAGCTACACTAGAGTCTGCCAACCCCCAGTTCAGAGTTTTCCCCACTTGACATAACCTCACTCTCGTAAAAAAGAAAACATGAGTAGGAATATCAGAGCGCATTTTTCTTCTTTCTGTGAAGCCTCGTTGTCATAAATTAAGCCACATCCTTCTAAGGGAGGAGCCTGCTTTCTGTGCCAGCTGCTAGAAATGCCCTGAAGAGATGATCTTTTACTCTCTTCTGATTATTTCCATTCTGCTGAGAACATGGATTAGCCAATGTTTTTATTTTTAAAGTTTACTAAGGAAGGGATAGTAAATAAATAGATTCTGAGCTATTTATTTTGTATTTTTATTATTTTTATTTATTATTATTTCATAAGTTTACTTATTTTTGAGAGAGAGAGAGAGAGAGAGAGAGAGAGAGAGAGAGAGAGAACACTAGCAGGAAAGGGGCAGAGACAGAGACACAAAATCCAGAGGAGGCTCCAGGCTCTGAGCTGTCTGTACAGAACCTGAATCAGGGCTCAAACTTGTGAACCAAGAGATCATGACCTGTGCTGAAGTTGGACTCCTAACCGACTGAGCCACCCAGGCGCCCCTAGACTGAGCTAACTTAAGAGTACATACTCATTTCATCGTGGTAGGGACTCAAACTTGTGGTTATTCACCAACAGGCATGAACGGCTCACATGAAAGCCTAATGACCTAGAAAAACCAACATAGGAAGCAATTGTCTCCTGCACTGTCTCCCTTACCCTCTCCCACTATCTTTGGGCCAGTTATATGTTATTATGTTTCTACTTCTTTCCCAGGACAGTTCATTTATTTCTGTGACTTATGGCCTCTTTTCTGGTAACTCTCTATCTCAGTTTTCAAAAGAGCATCCTGATAAATCTCAGTATCTGTTTTCCTACTTCATAGGCTTGGTATTAGGAGTACATGAAAAATGTAGATCAACGTGGATTGCAGACTGTAAAATACTAATCTAATGTCAGGTTAGTAGTTGACTAATTACCACTGCCATTCTCATCTGGAAGCAGAATCTCAGCAGCATGTGCAACTCTGAGCTCATCATTGTCACTTAAAATCCTCCCTCCACTGTACTGTTCATTGGAGGAAAAAACAGGTTAAACCTGGTGTTTCTCTTCCCTCAAGGTCCGATCTCCTCCCTGGCTGCCCCAATGGCTCTTTGTGGTGACACTGGCTGCAAACATTCCGTTCCAGTGTCAGACTAGGAATGAAATTATGTGTTGTGGTTGGATTTAAAAGACAATAATTATGCAAATATCAGCAGGTAACTTTCTCATACGTAAGTTATCGTTTCCTATACGTTGTTTTTATAAATTCCCATCCCTTATATTAAATATAAAATACGTTGACCCTATCAATGGGGGATGAAACTGTTTTATTATCCCATCATCAGAATTTAGAGCTGTATTCTACAGATATAGGGATCCATGAATGTGTCTCTCTAAACCCTCTCCTCCAAACTTTCCACATGTGACCATTCTCAAGGTGTCTGTGATTCCATTGTGTTGCCTCTTATATTTTAGTTCTCGATGCCTAGTCACCCCACCGTCCTGTTTACCCGCAGCTTAGCCAGACACTTGCACACTGTACCTAGACCGGATAGTGTACTTACGTCTTATATTGTAAGAAAATGACAACTAAATGTAGGTTTGTGCTCAGAAGAATAATATAGGGCTTATTAAAAATGAGGAATGGAATAGATTTCAATGTCTGTCTTAGAGGTAAGGAGGCAGTTGGAGATTTTTATGTTATATACCTGCCACTTTGAACCTATACCTTAAAATAAATAAATAAATAAATAAAATTCAACAGGTAAAAAACTCAATTTAAAAAATAAAATAAAATATTTCTAAATTCTAGGTTGAACTACAAGTTTATCTTACTACCTATTTGATGATTACAAAAAATACATAGAAATTCAAATGCCCATTGAATTTTATAATTCTTTAAGTAGGTATATATGCATATCTCTAAGAGCCAATGTGTTGATTAAAATAATTGCATAGAGATATTAATTATGGTTACTTAGATTTTCATCAGTAATGGTGTATTATTGACATTTATGTCTCTCAGCTAAATCTGTATGGAATGTTAAAGTAAATTTTTTTTAATTTAAAACATTTTAAAAATTAATATGTCCTAAAAATCTAAAAATAGAATTACCCTATGACCCAGCAATTGCACTACTAGGTATTTACCCAAGGGATACAGGTGTGCTGTTTTGAAGGGACACACGCACCCCCATGGTTATAGCATTGCTTTCAACAATAGCTAAAGTATGGAAAGAGCCCAAATGTCCATCGATGATGAATGGATAAAGAAGATGTGGTATACATATATAATGGAGTATTATTCGGCAATCAAAAATAATGAAATCTTGTCACTTGCAACTACGTGGGTGGAACTAGAGGGTATTATGCTAAGTGAAATTAGTCAGAGAAAGACAGAAATCATATGACTTCACACATATGAGAACTTTAAGAGGCAAAATAGATGAACATAAGGGAAGGGAAAAAATAATATAAAAACAGGGAGGGGGACAAAACAGAAGAGACTCATAAATATGGAGACCAAACAGAGGGTTACTGGAGGGGCTGTAGGAGGGGGCAAGGGCTAAATGCGTAGGGGTCATTAAAGAATTCACTCCTGAAATCATTGTTGCACTATATGCTAACTAATTCGGATGTAAATTTGAAAAAAATAAACTAAAAAAAAGTTTAAAACTATTTTATAGGGCATTAAAAAAATAACAGTCACTCCGCTGTGGTTTTAATCAGCTTCGGGGCTATCACACAATGAAGACGGTAATCTGGAGTTAACACATTTTTACAATTCCCCATTCTTATTCCTTATTCTGTTTAGCTGCTCCAGTTTTCCTAACAAGACTTCTGATGTAAGCTTGTTACAATCTTGTTAGCACTGCAGTTCGTATCCATTGCTGTCACTGTTCCATCAGAACAACTTCGACACCAAACTTAAAACCTTTGTTGGTATTTGTATCCTTCATAGTTTTATATCAGTTCAGAGTTAGTTGGGTTTGTTGGCAACTTTAGAAAGAATAAGTCCTCCTTCAAGTCACTGCTATGTGAAAATCACACATATAATCAAATTATGATGTTGGGCAACGAAAAATACTTTAAAGCTTTATTTGCTCTGTGAGTTGGCTTCTGTAACGTGACCTAGTTCCCAAACATGTGGTGCCGTGCTGTCATTGTAAAATGGGCAGCCGGCCTACAGCAACCACAAGTGCAGGGTGGATTCCTCCTTTAGGACTCTTAGGAAGAAATCACCATGTTTGCACAGTGGGCTCGCTGTTGACAGTCCCTCGCCTTATATCAACAGCTGCTTTTACAGTTCCCATTACAACGCATCCACACTGACTCCACAAGGGAAAGGCTGGACATGAGAGGAGGTTACTGGACTGTTCTAGAATATTAAAAGACACTTTTACAATAGTACACAATTGTTTTGATAACCTCTAAGTTTGTTCTGTGACAGTGTGAACAGAAAACAATTCATTCAAACTAGGTCTCCAAAAAAA